TTCTTTTAGTGTGTTTGGTGAGAACAGTTTAACATCTTCCCACTTAGCAAATTTCAACTATATAATACTGTTAACTATAGTCACCATTGCATAATGGTAACTTTGTACTTTTGACCATCATCATCCCACTTTCCTCTGCCCCAAGCCCCTGACAATCACCATTCCACATTCTGTTTTCTGAGTTTTACTATTTTAGTTTCTACATATAAATGAGATCGTGTAGTATTTGGCTTTATTTGTCTTCTTTCTTGCTTTCTTATGTAGTTTAGTTATGGGTTTGTCAATTTTGTTTATCTTTTCAATAAATTATGTTTTATTGTTTTTCTGATTCTATATCTCATGTATTTGTGGTCTAGCGTCTATTGTTTATTTCCTTCTGCTATTTGGGCTTAGTTTTTTCCCCTTTTCTTAGTTATGACAAGTATAAAGTTAAGTTGTTTATTTTTTTAATGTAGGTCTCCCTTTCTTTTTTTTTTAAAAGATTATATTTATTTATTCAACAGAGAGAGATAGCAAGAGAGGGAACACAAGCACAGGGGAGCTGGAAAGGGAGAAGCAGCCTCCCCACTGAGCATGGAACCCAATGTGGGCCTCGATCCCAGGACCCTGAGATCATGACCTGAGCTGAAGGCAGATGCTTAACAACTGAGCCACCCAGGTGCCTCTCCCTTTTTTTATTGTAGGTGTTTATCACTACAAAATTCCCTTTTAGTGTGCTTTTAGTATGCTCTTCCTGCACTGTATAAGTTTTGGCATAATATATTATTTTTATTTAGACTAAGGCTTTAAATCAACTGTCAAATATGCACAAAGATAAAAAGAAACCATAAACAATGAATTAATGGAAATCAGAAGAAAAATACTTCACCACCATAGAGAATACCCAGGAAGAAATTAAATTATGTATATTTTTAAAAAGAGCCAAATAGAAATGTTGGAGTTGAAAAGTAAAAATGGAAAATGAAATAAAATAAAATAAAACAAATACTATAGAACTTACAGATATCAACACATCTAATAAGCTCAATGAACTTCAAGTTGGATATGGTCAAAGGCATAAAATTTCAGAAGCATGGAGGCCATAAAGCATGTGATGACATGTCACAGTGATGAAAGAGAAAAAAATTTTAATATAGAACTCTATATATGATAAAACTATCTTTCAAAGATGAAGGAGAAAGGATTATAGAAAGATGGCAGAATAGGAGTCACCAAGAATCTGTCTCCCCAATGAAACAGAAATTGTTTGTTTGATGTAACCATGCCGGAACTCTGGAATCTGTTGAAAGCTTACAACTTCTAGGAGAAGGCTTGGATGATAATTTGTGGTTAATTTTGGTCAATTTCAGCTCTTAGCAAACTAGCAGCTATCCATGCATTCCTTAGTAAGCAGCTGTGCATGTGTTACTGGTACAACTTACATACAGCTTACAGGGGCTAGGGCAGGCAAAAGGACCCTGGCCTCCAATAACATGCTCTGCTTACCGATTGTTGTTAATGATCACAGAGGTGCAGACAAGGAGTCAGGCAGCCATTTTTGTTGTACCTCTCCTCTTTGTTGTAGCCCTAAAGTCTTTCCCTGAAGTGACTTTCAGGGGATTTAAAGAGTTGATGGTCTTTATTTTCTTTCTGTCTTTCATATTTTTTTTTTTTTTTTTTTGTTTCATTTAGAAACCAGACATTGACTGGACAAAAACAACTGCATATACAGGAAAAATTAGAACGTAACCATGGATGCAGGAAAAGGTGCAGTGTCAAAGACCTGAGAATTCCTTAAGTTTATACTTCAGGCTAATCCTTGCAATAGAGTCATGACAACAATAAAAAGGATAGAAAGAAAGATTCAAAAACAAAAAAACCACCCAGCATTCAAAGTGCTCTTAAGCCAGGATTCAAAAACAGATTTGAGGAGGAAGAAGAAAGAATCAGCAAACTTGATGACAATGGAAATTATTGAACCTGAAAAATAAAAGGAAAAAAAAAGATTGAAGAAAAGTGAACCAAACTTAAAGGACCATCAACTGGATTGACAAAGGCATTGAGGGAGTTCCAGAAGGAAGACAAAAAGAGGGCAAAGACAGTATATGAAGACATAATGTTTGAAAACTTCCCAAATTTGATAAAAGACATATATAAACAGCAAAGGAGCTCAATTAACTCCAAATGAAATTAACTCAGAGACTAATATTAAAATTTTAAAATCAAACTTTTGAAGGAAAAGAGAAAGAGAAAATCTTGAAATCACTTAGAAGTGACTCATCACATACAAGTGATCCTCAATAAGATTATCAGTAGATTTTTCTTCAGAAACTTCAAAAGCCAGAAGCCAGGGCACTGATAAATTCAAAATGCTATTAAATGAATATAACTAACTAACTAACTAACTAACTAACTAACTAACTAACTAACTAACTAAAAAAGATGTTAAACAACCCCTCTATATAAGCAAAATAAAAGTGAAAAAGATATTAACGCTCCCATCTAAACAAAAGCTGAAGGACTTTGTTAGCACTAACCTGCCCTGTGGAAACTGTTTAAGGGAATCCTAGCAGGTGAAAAGAAAAGATAGTGGACAATAACTCATAGCCTGTATGAAGAAAGAAAGTTCTTTTCAAGACTCACTTTATTTATTTATTTTAATTGGGTTACTGGAGTGATGATATACAATCTACCCTACCCATATAGATAGGATTAGGATAAAAGGTAACAATGATCACTTACGCTTGACAATCCCAGAGAAAATTGACAATGGGAAACCTCACAGTAGGCTGGATTAGGCTGGGATTATCTTCTGTATAAAGTTTCAATGGCCCTTTGGTTGTGCTTCAGTATCATCTGTTTGTTTGTTTTGGTAGCTAAAGTAGTATTTACTTGCAAGGTCCCTGTTGGGTGCTTATTGCAATTGATGGTGAATCATAGAGCATAGGAACTCCCTTTCTGGCCTCCCAAATCCATATTATTGGGGTTTCCCTTTATTTTCACAGTGGAGAGGATTTCTGGGTTGGAATAAGATTTTGTTTTGAATTGAAATTTCCCAACACTAGATTGAGAGGAAAAAAAAGACAGAAGACTAAAATTATAATCAGCAACAGAAGCCAGGGTATTACTACTGCCCTTCATAAATTAGGTAGAATTATTTTATTTCTATTTTAAAATAAAATAAAAAGGATTATGAAAGAACACCTGAATAATTGTATACCCACAAATTACAAAACATAGGTAAAATAAATGAATTCCTGAAAAATATAAATGACAAAAAATGTGTCAAGAAGAAACAGAAGATCTAACCAAATGTATAATGTAAAACTGAATCAATAATGAAAAACTTCCACAAAATTGGTGAATCTAGCTTTGCCGGATTGGTGAATTCTATCAGTCACTGAAAAAAGAACTTATAAAAAAGTGGAAGAGGAAACATGACATCATTCGATGAAGTCAGCATTTTCCTGATTCCAAAGCCAGATAAGACATTACAAAAAATTTAGTGTAATGTCTGTTATTAACACAGATGCAGATATTCTAACAAAATAGCAGCAAAATATTAAATGATTATGTATTATAATTAAGTGGAATTTCTCCTAGGATAATTTGTGGCATAGATATCTTAGGCATTTGGTTAAACGCATATTTATTGTAAAATTCGAAGGCTGTGTTTAAGTTTTCCTCTGTTTAATCTCCCTTTCTTCTTTCCTATTTTATCTAATTTTAGTACCTCTAAGATATTCTGCTGAGTGTTGGTAAAGGTGAGGAATAGCTAAAGTGTCTGTCCTATTAACGTTTACAGTGAGGCAAGGAAGACAAATTTTGAAAAAGTTTTAGAGGGGAGGGGGTGAAGGGATGGGTTAGCCTGGTGATGGGTATTAAGGAGGGCATGTATTGTATGGGGCACTGGGTGTTATACGAAAATATTGAATCGTGGATCACTACATCAAAAAAAAAGTTCTTTAATGCACAGCATAGTGTTTACATCAACAGTACTGTATTACATAGTTCAAGTTACTAAGGGTCTAGATGTTAAGTGTTATAGCCAGCTATAATAATTATGTGAAGTAACGGAAAGGGTTAGGTAAAGTTGTGGTGGTAATCATACTTCAATATATAAATATCTCTTGAACACATTACACAATATTAAAGTTTCACAATGTTACTGTACAATTATACCTCAATTGTACAAAGAGAACAAGTAGTAACAAGAATATTGTACAAATTGTGTCTTGCCTTTCCCAAGTACTATGAAATAGCTGAGCATGGGAATATGATATGTTAAAATTTAGGTAAGAGGTAAGAGTTAATGTGTCAAGGGGCACCTGGGTGGTTAGTTAACAGTTGGTTAAGCACTTGCCTTTGGCTCAGGTCTTGATCTCAGGGTCCTGGGATCAGGTCTCCCATCAGGCTCCTTGCTCAGCGGGGCGTCTGCTTCTTCGTGTCCCTCTGCTGTTTCCCCCACTTGTCTCTCTGGCGCACTCTCTCTCTCTCTCTGTGTCAAATAAATAAAATCTTTTTTAAAAAAGTTAATAATTTAATAATAATAAAAAAGTAATTTGTGAAACTGGGAAACAGGACAAAGCAGCAGACTTCTGGATTCAGCTAGCAGTGGGGCTTCCTTTAAAGCATCTTTAACTAGGACTTATGGTTCTCCATCCTTGATTCCGCTTCTTTTCAGCTCACTGTGCCTGCCTTCGCGGGACTTTTACCCTTTGTTTTGAACTGTCAGAGCGCTTCTCTCTTCCAAGAACGGTCAGTGGACTGCACATGCGCAGTAGAAGCAGTACGGCGGGAGCGTAGATCTAGTGGGGCACGGAAAAGCGACGTCAGCGGCCCAAAAGCCATTTCCTTTCAGCGCACCGCACTTCCTGGGCGACTTTGTGGAGCTTGGTTCAAATTACTGTCAGTCATACTCTGGCTGCAATTACTTCGTCACTTACACTCCTCGGAGGAATAGCTGCTGCGCCGCCTCCGCGGGAAGGAAGGTAGAAAGCGCTGGGAGGTAACAGTCACCACCATGCCAAAGAATAAAGGTAATGAGCGGCTAGCCAAACCACGGTTCTCCGCCGCCCAGCTTTCGGCGCAGACCTGAGACCAGGCCCCAGCGACTATTCTTCCTACGAGACCGCGCTCAGAAAAACTGGGACATTACTCCCGTCTTCCAGTTTGGTCATATTGGGGCGGAGCTGACGCCATCTTTGTAGGATCTCCTTCGGGAGAATGTAGACTTTTTCTCCCGATTCGCGCCAGCCTGACCCGGGCCCTTTATGGAACTGTAAGGGGAGAGCTTGAGGCGGCCAGAGTTTCCTAAGCGCGGCACTTCTGTACCTCCTCGCACTGTTCTTGAGCGGTTCTTAACTTTAAAGGGTGTTTCCTGCTTTTAGGACCATCAGATGTAATCTTTCTCTAAGGACGGTTCATTATTATTATTATTTATTTTATTTTTTTTTTAGAGATTTATTTGACAGAGACACAGTGAGAGAGGGAACACAAGCAGGGGCAGCGCCAGAGGGAGAAGCAGGCTTCCCGCGGAGCGGGGAGCCCGATGCGGGACTCGATCCCAGGACCCTGGGATCATGACCTGAGCCGAAGGCAGACGCTTAACGACTGAGCCACCCACGAGCCCGGACAGTTCATTATTGTTGAAGATACTGTCTCTTGCTGTCTCTTCCTTATAATCAGTAGATGAAACCTTGATACCCATATGGCTTCCTCTGTGGTTGGTTGACTTTATCCAGCCGTTCGCAGTTTAACATTCTTTTCCAGAAGACATTTTACATATTTACCAAAGTTTTCAGGTTTCGTTTCCTATAACATATACTGAAAGTAAAGGTTTCTATCTCCCCTATTCTGAGACAAACAGTTCACAAATTATCAGATTTAATAAGTATACCTTAAACTGCCAAGTGGGAGTACTAACCACAACATTTGAGGTACACATTTTTCCTTTTTTAGGAAATTGCTTTTGATGCCGTAAAGAATGCATAACATAGTAAAGACACATGAATTAAGAAATTGTTCAGGACCACCTTCCTTTTACTCTATAACAGAACAATGGCAGACTGCCCTAACAGGGCAGGGGTGCGTTGAAGAAGATTTATATTTACACAGTGGTTAAGTAGACATTTTTAAATTCTATTTGGAAAGTGAATTTTTGTTTCACACTATTCCCGTGGGTCCTTTATTACAACTCCTTACAGCCTTTCTCCATACTATTGGAAATGACTGGTCTTGTGGTTTAGGTTATGTAAAGGGAATAAAACGCTATGGTGTACACCTTCATTATTTAATAGGAAGCCTAAAAGAAAGAAAGTTAATACTGTATTCAAATATATTCAACTTAAAAGCAAAAATTGAAAAATATAAGTTAACTGTTGTTTTAAATTTTTAACATTTTACATAATACTCCTGTTTGCTAATGCAAATATAGATTAGTACAGTTCATAAGCAGACTAAGGAAATGCATACATTTATCCTGTGGAATTTGTAGGATAATCTTCAATTTAACATAATTTAATAATTGAAACAGAAGTTATCAAAATAAGGAATAACCATACATTAAAATGTTCTCTAAGTTTGTGATTATTGATATGAAAGGAATAATTTATTGAACTATGATTAAAATAGGTTATAGAAGAGAATGTTTGGAATCCTATTTTTATTTGGAAAGCAAAGACAATAAAATACTAATAGTCATCTCTATTAATGAAATTTTTCTTCTATGTACTTTTATGTTAGAAAAAATCCAAAAACAAATGTCAAAGAAGGGTGTGGGTTTATAATATGCTAACCTAGTAAATGACTAGAAGTGAACCATTGAAAAATTGTAAGTGTAGCCAATTAGATAACCAAATTATATATATTTTTAAAAATCTTAGAATTCTGTTAGTGTTGTAGTGCTATTTAAATGATAATATTTTTCTCTAACTGATTTTATAAAATTTATAAGCCTTGTTTTATCTTGTTTCATAATTTACTGTATAAAATATAGACCATTACACTTAATTTTTTATTTCTTAAATCAACTAGGTAAAGGAGGCAAAAACAGGCGTAGGGGTAAGAATGAAAATGAATCTGAAAAAAGAGAATTGGTGTTTAAAGAGGATGGACAAGGTAAAATTTTTTAATTTACTAACATCTTTTTTTAACTGATGTGAATTTCATTGTTTAATCTGAAAAAGGATCTTAGTCATAATCCTGAGCATTTTGCTGTTCCTCATTTATAATCCCTTACCCCACTTCTCCAGAATTTATCTGTTAAATAACCAATTCTGTACTAGTTCTGGAAAGAGGATTAATTGCTGGCATTTCTGTAAGTATAGTTTTAATTGTTTTGTGAAGAAGAGCAAGTTACAACTGAAAGAATTCTATGGTTTAGAGCAAACTGAGCCAGAATAGCATCATTAAAAATACCATACTTTATTCAGGAAACCATGGGTATTTTTGAGGAATATATCGTAACTTTTGGGCCTTCCATTCTCCAGTGATGCTAACACATAATCATAAAATGTAATAAAAATGATTTATCGATTAACCCTATTGGATTAAGGAAGGCCAAAGATTCAGAAAATGAGTTTTAAAAAAAAGACTGGAAGTTATTTTTCCCCATTTAAAAAATTTAAACTCTTCAGAAAAATTGGATATGGGTATAACAGACTCCCATCTATTCTTTATCTACATTCTCTAGTTTTTAACATTTTCTTTTTATACTTTCCATATGTGTTTACATCTTTTTCCTAAAGTTTTAAACTTTTTGACAGACATCTAATTCCATAGTTAGAGACTTCAGTTTGAGATAATACCTCAACATTATCTACTAAGAACAAGGGCTTTTTCTTTCAAATTTACAGAATTATTACAAGAAATTTAACATGCTGTTAATAAAACACACTTCCACTTATAAAATAAGTCATGAAGCTGAAAAGTACAACGGGGTTATAATCAATAGAAACAAAACCAAAAAATGATGTTTCCTAGTACTGTGTAGTGCTGTCCACTGTATTAGCTACTGACTATATGTGGCTATTTAAATGAAGTGAAATTCAGATTCTGAATTACCATATTATTCAGTTTATATATATGTTATCATCAACAGAGGAAAGTTCTGTTGGATGGTTCTGATTTACTGTTATAATATATATTCACCTTTCTTCAGTTGTCAGTAATTTCCAGCGCCTTAATAATGAAACCTTGTAGTCATGATATACATGCAAGCCCCTAGAAAGTCAGCATTTTTATTGTATATATATAAAACATGTTTTCTGTGTAATGACAGTTACTTAACCTTTGTCTTTCTCACTTCCATTAAAAGTTTATTTTCAAGCCAGTTTTCTAATTTTTTTCGTTTTCTTCTTTGCTATCTTATTTTTCCCATGTTGAAGAAGTGGAAGCTCATTGGGTAAACCCCAACAGTGTATTCCAGTTTATCTTTCTGTATAATTATAAATTAGTGCAGGTTCTCCTTGGGGTTAGTTCTTAGTATATAAACTTTAGTAATGTGAAGATTTTGTAGTAATGATGTTTCCTTCTCCTCACTCTCACTTCTGCTTTTGTTGTTTAAGTCTAGAAGAGACTGCTCCATGTGACTAATGCTCGTATCTTACCAACATTTTCTAGTAGCAGTAGAATAAGGTGGCTTCCTGAAGAAGCTTACTTTTGGAAATATTTTAAACATTTGGCATTTTGTCTTGGAACATTATTCTTGTTAAAGAACTTCAGAATAATCACCAAGTTATTCTAAAGTAAATAAAGGTTTATTAATCATTACTCCTTTTTTTACTATTAAAGTTTCTGAAGGAAAGAAGAACCAAGATTGGGCTTCTAGCCAAATGTGAGAAATTGAAAAGCCAGGATTACAGTTTACATTTTAGAGTGAGCAAATATGATGTCTAAAGGTAGAGCATTCAGTCATGAAGATAAAAGTGAACTGATTTACTCAAAATGGGTAGATAATTAAAATGTTTGTATTAACAGAGATAGCATGTCATGGAAATGGCATTTGTGACCTTAGACAAATTCTTCTGTAGGCTTTTACTTACTCTAAAAATAGGTGATAAAGTAAATAAGTATAGCTGGAAGAGGCTATAGAAATTGTTTGACAAATGAGTTCTCTAATTTGCTTGAGTGTAATTAGAATATATCAGATATTTTATTTTTTATTTATTTATTTATTTTTTTAAAAGATTTTATTTATTTATTTGACAGAAAGAGACAGTGAGAGAGGGAACACAGCAGGGGGAGTGGGAGAGGGAGAAGCAGGCTTCCCGCGGAGCAGGGAGCCCGATGCGGGGCTCAATCCCAGGACCCTGGGATCTCACCTGAGCCGAAGGCAGACGCTCAACGACTGAGCCACCCAGGCGCCCCTATATCAGATATTTTAGAGAAATATATTTTCAATATATTAGGATATCACCGTGAAAGAACACTTTCTCGGTAGAATATTTAATCTTTTTTGGTTGATGAAGCCTTATCCCTTTTTTAAAAAATTATGGTTTGATCAAAATTTAGCAGTAAGAATGAGGCTATTAATTGTATGCTAATTTCAGTTGTTACCTTTTAACAAATATTGAACAGTATTTCATATTCTTCCCCCTCAACCCCTCAGAGTATGCTCAGGTAATTAAAATGTTGGGAAATGGACGATTAGAAGCTATGTGTTTTGATGGTGTAAAGAGATTATGTCATATCAGAGGAAAATTGAGAAAAAAGGTAGGTATGGAGATTTGTTTCACTTTCATACAAAATTTGCTTTTTTAAAAAAATCGCTGTACTTTAGGTACATAAGGGCCAAGCAACTTATTTTTGTAAGTTCCCCAAGATTTCAAAGAATAGTTTTTTAGATGACATTGTAATTAAGAAAAATAAAATTTTTGATGGTAATTTATATAATAGAATATTATATTTACAAAGAATTACCTGTTTCATCAATATTATATTTCTGCCACAAATGTTTACTCTGTTTATAATATTGAGGAAATAGACAAATCCAGTGTACAAAACAAATGGCCTGTACGTTTAAAAATATGTTATCTCAGGAAAAAAAGAAAAAAGCTAGAGAATTAACATTAAAAAAGACTAACGAGACTGCTAATTATAGTGCATGTTCCTTGACTAGATTTTGGTATGTGAAAAGTGTGTTAGGGAAATTTGAAATTGGATTATGTTAAGTAATAATATTTAATTCCTCATCAGAGTAGTTCAGACAGATTTATTAGTCAAGTTGGTTAAAAGTTCCTTCATCTCTGATTTTATAATTAAAATTTTCTTTCTTTTTTTATTATTGTTATGTTAATCACCATACATTACATCATTAGTTTTTGATGTAGTGTTCCATGATTCATTGTTTGTGCATAACACCCAGTGCTCCACGCAGAACGTACCCTCTTTAATACCCATCACCAGGCTAACTCATCCCCCCCTTCCCCTCTAGAACCCTCAGTTTGTTTTTCAGAGTCCATCATCTCTCACAGTTCATCTTAAAAAATTTTTTTCTTCTGTTAGTACGTTTTCTAAATAAATGGTGGGTTTGGAGCCTATATTTTTGTAGACTGGTAACAGAGTGGCTGTTAATGTAGGTGGCTGATTTTCCTATATTTTGAATAATTGAATATCATTTGAGTGGATTGTGATTAAAAACCTCTACTGTCCATGACACAAATGATCCTTCTTTAGTGATTTTTTTTTTTAAAGATTTTATTTATTTATTTGAGAGAGAGAGAATGAGAGATAGCATGAGAGAGAAGAGTGTCAGAGGGAGAAGCAGACTCCCCGCCGAGCAGGGAGCCCGATGCGGGACTCGATCCCGGGACTCCAGGATCATGACCTGAGCCGAAAGCAGTCGCTTAACCAACTGAGCCACCCAGGCGCCCTTTCTTTAGTGATTTCTAAACTGACTACTTAAAATTATTATTATTTTAACATCCTAAATTAGAAAATTGAAACTAACTCAACTATGTAGTATAGTTTTTTTCCTAGTATGCTAAAACTACGTTTAACTGGACTAATTTTGCTTCTATATATGTTTATGTATACATACACACATGAAGTTAGTATATATATGTCGTTATTTTTCCCTAATTCATAGAAACTTTTTTCCACACTGGGTGAATTTTTTTGTGGGAAGAATGGTTTTTTTTTTTTTTTTTTTTTTTTACTTGTTTTTTGATTAAATATAGTATGCAGTAAATTTTCTTTTTATAGGTTTGGATAAATACCTCCGACATTATATTGGTTGGTCTTCGAGACTACCAGGTAACAAATACACTTAAAAGTTACATTATGTCCTTGTATTAATAAGTCATTAATGCTTAGAAGATACAATATAGACATGTTTGATTGGTTCGAGGCATTTATGCCTTCTCACCACTCTATTTTCAAAATATATTAAGAGCCGGTTGTGTTCAAGACTATAGTATTTTCATAATTCAGAATCATTCCCATGGAGGTTAATGATACGTGTATGTTATGAGAAGACTGGCTGATTCAGTATTGTTCCTTATGTATAATTTTTCTTTTAAATATAATATGCAGTACATACTCTTTTAAAAGTTTGGAAAAATACCAAAGATTAGTGTGTTCTCATTCGTTTAAAGACCAGTTATATTCTGGGCATTATGCTAGGTATTCCAAGGATTATGGTTCCCAAATGCCAGTCTGTGAAATATATTTTTTTTAAAGATTTTCTTTGTTTATTTGAGAGAGAGAGAGAGAGAGAAAGAGAGCATGAAACAGGGAGAGGAGAAGCAGCCTCTCCACTGAGCAGGGAGGCCAACTCAGGGTTCAATCCCAGGACCCTGGGATCATGATCTAACCAACGGAGCTACCCAGGCGCCCCTCAGTCAGGGAAATATTGATGTGGACTGACATCTTCATTCTTCTGTGGTGAAATGAGAAGATTTGCAGGTGTTGAATGGTTTTTCTTATGAAGTTAATTGTAAGTTTTTTAATTTTCTTTTTTAAAAATATTTTTTAAATTACTTTTTCTAAAATGAGAGTGATAGTCTATAAGAAGGTGATTTTTATTAGGGTTCTTATCAAAACAAAAAATTTAATAATGTTATATTGGGGTCTCATCATCAATTACTGTTTTTTATTTTTAAACTTAAGGTCTTGAAATCCATGTCTAAGAAATCCTATTTGGGGGTAAGCAGGTGAATAAGTTAAACCTTTATTCTCCAAAAGGTTTACAGTAACATTGTGGAAGGATAAGACATGAACTCAGTAGTTACAGTGCAAACTTGTATATATGTGGTATAAATTTGATATAAGCACTTAGAAAAGAACATAATATTTACTCTCTATAATGGATTCCTTCAGATTATGCACTGACTCTGTAATCCATGAGCTTTCTACCTATTGGAAGTCATAACTATATATTTAATCAAATTGTGAGTAAAAGTATTGCTGTTTTTAGCTGTTTTTTTTTTAATTATGTTATGTTAGTCACCATACAATACATCATTAGTTTTTGATGTGGTGATCCACAATCCATTGTTTTTGTATAACACCCATGCTCCATGCAGTACGTGCCCTCCTTAATACACATCACTGGGCTAACCCGCCCCCCACCCCTCTCTCCTCTAAAACTCTGTTTGTTTCTCAGAGTCCATAGTCTCTCATGGTTCATCTCTCCCTCCAATTTCCCCCCTTCATTTTTCCTTTCCTTCTCCTAATGTCCTCCATGCTATTCCTTAAGTTCCACAAATAAGTTAAACCATAAGATAATTGACTTTCTCTGCTTGACTTATTTCACTTAGCATAATCTCCTCCAGTCCCCTCCATGTTGATGTAAAAGTTGGGTATTCATCCTTTCTGATGGCTGAGTAATATTCCATTGTGTGTATGGACCACATCTTCTTTATCGATTCTTCTGTTGAAGGGCATCTCGGCTCTTTCCACAGTTCGGCTATTGCGGACATTGCTGCTATGACCATTGGGGTGCATATGGCCCTTCTTTTCACTACATCTGTGTCTTTGGGGTAAATACCCAGGAGTGCAATTGCTGGGTCATAGGGTAGCTCTATTTTTAAATTTTTGAGGAACCTCCACACTGTTATCCAAAGTGTCTGTACCAACTTGCATTCCCACCAGCAGTGTAAGAGGGTTCCCCTTTCTCCACAACCTCTCCAACATTTGTTGTTTCTTTCCCGGTCCATTTTTGCCATTCTAACTGGTGTAAGGTGGTATCTCAGTGTGGTTTTGATTTGAATTTCCCTGATGGCTAATGATGACGAACATTTTTTCATGGGTCTGTTAGCCATTTGTATGTCTTCTTCAGAGAAGTGTCTGTTCATGTCTTCTGCCCACTTTTTGATTTGATTATTTGTTTTTTGTTGCATTTGAGAAGTTCTTTATAGATCTTGGATACCAGCCCTTTATCTGTAGTGTCATTTGCAATATCTTCTCCCATTCTGTGGGTTGACTCTTTGTTTTGTTGACTGTTTCCTTTGCTGTGCAGAAGCTTTTTATCTTGATGAAGTCCCAGAAGTTGAATTTTGCTTTAGTTTCACTAGCTTTTGGAGATGTATCTTGAAAGAAGTTGCTGTGGGTGATGTCAAAGAGGTTATTATCTATGTTCTCCTCTAGGATTTTGATGGATTCCTGTCTCACATTGAGGTCTTTTCATCCATTTTGAGTTTATCTTTGCATAGGGTGTTAGAGAATGGTCGAGTTCCATTCTCCTGCCTGTGGCTGTCCAGTTTTCCCAGCACCATTTATTGAAGAGACTGTCTTTTTTCCATTGCTGGGTTCTCTATTCTGTTCCGTTGGTCTATATGTCTCTTTTTGTGCCAGTACCATGCTGTCTTGGTGATCACTGCTTTGTAATATAGCTTGAAATCGGGCAACATGATGGCTGCAGCTTTGTTTTTCTTTTTCAACATTTCCTTGGCGATTTGGGGTTTTTCTGATTTCATACAAATTTTAGGATTGTTTGTTCCAGCACTTTGAAAAATGTCATTGGAATTTTGATCGGGATGGCATTGAAGGTATAGATTGCTCTGGGTAGCATAGACATTTTAACAATGTTTATTCTTCCGATCCATGAGCATGGAATGTTTTTCCATCTTTTTGTGTCTTCAGTTTCTTTCATGAGTGGTCTGTAGGTCCTAGAGTATAGATTCTTTACCTCTTCGGTTAGGTTTATTCCAAGGTATCTTATGGGTTTTTGGAGCTATTGTAAATGGAAATGTTTCTCTAATTTCTCTTTCTACAGTTGCATTGTTAGTGTATAAGAAAGCAACTGATTTCTGTGCATTGATTTTGTATCCTGCCACATTACTGAATTTCTGTATGAGTTCGAATAATTTGGGTGTGGAGTCTTTTGGGTTTCCCACATAAAGTGTCATGTCATCTGTGAAAAGAGAGTTTGATTTCTTTCCCAATTTGCATACTTTTTATTTCTTTTTGTTGTCTGATTGCTGTTGCCAGGACTTCTAGTACTATGTTGAACAATAGTGGCGAGACTGGGCATCCTTGACATGATCCTGACCTTAAGGGAAAGGCTCTCAGCTTTTCCCTGTTGTGGATGATATTTGCTTGGGTTTTTCATAGATGTATTTTATGAACTTGAGGAATGTTCCCTCTATCCCTATACTCTGAAGAGTTTT